CATGGGCAACCAATGGTTTTGAGAGGTTATGATTATGTGCTGTATGATATACTCTTGGATCGTACAGTTATACTAGTTGTCTAGGTTTTTGCGTTCCCTTTTTTTAGAAGAAAGTTGAATCATCCTCTTCTTGAACAATGGTGTCACAGCTTCTATGTGTGATTCTGCTTGCTGTTTTAAGGTTAACCCATGAGAGCTTTGCCAGAGTGGAACTGATCCTTGAACTATTGTTCTCTCCGTGATAGGATGATGATGGCAACATTGATGCACAGAAAGTTGGTGCTGGCCATGTGGCAGCAAACACAATAAGGTTCTTGATTGCTGGTTCTCAGGCAGGTGGTTTGATAGGAGTGTCTGGTCAAAATATTGAAACTTTGAGGAATTCTTCTGGAGCTGCTATCACAGTTCTTGCTCAACATCAGTTGCCATTGTGTGCATCTGCTCATGAGTCTGATCGTGTAGTACAGGTGAGAAGTTGGTATTGTTGGACAGCAGTGAGGCAAATGACGATCTTCATTTCTTAACTTCTTTGCATGTCTATGTTTCGCACATTGAGTATACTGATCATTTCGACAAACTACGTTTGATCGATTTCGTATTAAACTATACTTTTCTGATGTGGATATTTTAGTATTTAGCAGTCAAATGTTAAACAATATGTGTGGAAGATTGGGTCTCTTTCGCAGAAAACCATATAATTGTGTAGATGCTCTATTCTTTAATGTTCTACTTGTATAAAGGTATTTCCCCATCATCAATAAAGTTTTTTTACCTTATAAAAAAAGAGTCAAATGTTAAAAGAAGAGTTACCCTTCGTGTAGCATTATTTGCACGTGCAGCTATTCGAGTTATCACATATTTTCAGGGTTCTGTGCTCTTCTGCCTTGTTCTGAACAGACCTTTAGGGCCTATAGCTTTAATTACTGCTCATTTGTTTGTCAGCTTGAATTTGTTTCTTGAACATGTTGGTTTCTGATTTTTGCTGCTACTATGTAGCCTGCTTTTGATTGCTACCATGTAGCTTTTGCATCTACTTGTAATATTTTGCATCTTGGTGATGCCATTAATGAAGCCAATTACTTCATCAAAAAAAAATTGTGTCTGGGATATCATCTGTTCATGAGTCTGTTGTTAGTTTGGCTTTGTCAGGCATTTTTAGATATCAACTGTCTGTATAGGGAGATCTGTGTTTTATCTAGGACCTATCTCCTTTTACTTGTTTGTACTTTTAAGAGATTTAGCATTTTTAACTTGTTTGTTTCCCTTCTGCCTCCTACATTCAGGTATCAGGAGACATTCCTGCGGTCTTGAGAGCTGTGGTAGAAATCGGCTGTCAATTGAGGTTTAGTAATTTATTTATTTTTTGATAAAGGAGGTTTAGTAATTTTAATTGGCTTAATTAGGTCTGGTCGACGATTCTAAAACTATTTAATCCCTTAAATGTATATCGTTACAGGGATAATCCCCCTAAACAAGTAATTTCAATCAGTCCAACATACAATCTTGGCTATTCTCGCCCATCTCAACCATATGTCGATCCATCTTCAGGTTAATCAATCTTCTCTCGTTGTATCTTTTGAGCTTTTGGATTGATGCACTTGCTGCTATATGAAATTCAATATATTTATCATCTTGATAAAAAAATTAATATATTTATCACCTTGATAAAAAAAATTAGTATATTTATCATAACGACATCATCCTTGGCGACTACTCTTGCAGCTGATTATGTAAATCTGACGATGTTAGTTCCCGAATCATTAGCTGGTGGGTTGATTGGAAGGTGCGGCTCCAATATTTCAAGGATCCGAGCAGAGTCTGGAGCGTCAATTAAGGTACATAAATAGCCTTGTAAGATCTATTAGATTCAACTCTGATGGTTTTATTGCCCGTCCTAATCTTTCAGGTAAATAGAGTGTTATGAACTACTTGCGTTTATGTTTTAATGTTTTTGGTCTTGTATGCTAGGTACATGGTGGGAAAGGTGAACAGAAACAAAGACAAGTCCATCTGGGTGGTAATGCACAACAGGTGAAGATTAATTTTTATTCCTCGCTTCTTTTGGTTTATTTATGCTGACTTCTTGTAATCTAAGTTTAGTAGTTATCTTTTTGTGATATGGGGTTGTGTACATCTTCGCTAACATTAACATCTAAAATGAAACTGTCTCGGAGGATTTGATCTTAGAATAACCGTAAAAATCTTCCGCTAGCGTCTTGTAATTTTCGCTAGTTTACCTGTTAAATAGGGGAATGATGAGACATCAAGGATTTGTGGTCCTGTAGCATATGCTTGAATTTAATTTTCTTTTCGACAGGTCGCCCTTGCTAAGCAACGTGTTGATGAATATGTCTATTCCCAGTTGATGTTACAAGCTGGTGGTGAGCAGCTACAGGAGTCAATGCAGCTGCAGCAGTCAGTGCACCTGCAACAGTCAATGCAGCTGCAGCAGTCAGTGCAGTTGCAACAACAAATGTAATTTTATGTACCGTATAACTTGTAATTGGTTTAGACTTTTAAAATGAATAATTGGGACTTCTGTGTGGTGTCTTAACTATTATGTTGCTTGATGCAGACCAGACCCATCTGCTACTCTAATGCAAGGATATAGTCACGGTCATGGACTTTATATGAACAGGTAGTTGCATTCCAATTGTCGTTATAAAAGCTGATTGTTATCCCATTATCACTGCACTTCTAATTGTCCTTCAGAAAACTAATTTTCATTTCCTTGTCCCAACGATCTTAGCTCCATTATTACTATCACAAAGTTGCTAAGTATTACTTTTCGATCTGTCATAGTAAAATAAACGAAATTTTTGCTATACTAAAGTTGGTAGTCTGACACTGAACCCTAAGGTGATTATGGTATTTCTTTCTCATGCTCAATTGGACTTAATTATTAGCTGTCAGAGTTTTATTTAGATCAATGACTTAGTTGACATGATAGGATGTCTATCCACTGGTGGTAGGCTATTTACTTTGGTTGTCATGGAATGACAATAGTCTTCTATATTTGCAGTAACCAAGAAGTTCAAATGATGTCATCATACCCACAAGTATACACATCGAGCACCCCTCAAGCTCCTTCTTACTATGGTCAGTCTTATCCAGCTCCACAAATGTAGAGGCAAAAGGGGGTCTTTTTGGTACATCGGCTTTTGAATCAGATGATTTATATACAAAATGTTGACAATTTCTTGTTGTGTCATTAATTTGAGTTTATGATGTAATGTCGCATTGGAGATGGTCGCGAGTTGGCCAGGATGTCTCTTGTTGATCAGTTGCGACATAGTTTGCATGAGATCATTTAATTCTGGGATATTGATGGAAAAGTTAATGCATAAAGTTTTATGATCAACGGAATCTAGCATGCGCCTCTGGGAGCAGCAGATCTAGTCTAGTGAAGGGAGCTTATGGTAGCAGTTGCAGTGAAGGTACAGCACATCCCCTTGGATTTCTGTCCCTTTGTTCCCCTCTGCTTCCGCCCTTTCCCGACCCTGAAAAGCTCCCAAATCCCGCCCTGGTTTACCTTTGCTGCTTGATTTTCATTTACCTCTGTTGTTTCCATCAGAACAGAAACAAGGATGTGACGTATGCATTGCACGTCAGTCGCGGTCACCTCTCGCTGAACTGATTTCTAAGGAAGAACTTAAAAACATTTCGTGCGAATGATATAGAAATGAGATGATCGAGAATGGTGGCTGAGGGAGGGCTGACGGAGAAGCAGAGCTCGGAAATAGTGGCTGTAGCAGCAAATAGATTGGGACCCTAGTTCATTGGTTCAATTACTTCTTTTGGCCCCAAGACCACCAATTCATATCCCATCCACCCCACTTGCTCCCTACCCCGTGCCATAGAGCTTTCCCCACCCCCACCGGCCCAGCTCTGTCATGCATATCATTCCCGTAACCCTGCCCAGCATTGCCCCCTTGTATGTTCCCCGTTGGATACTAGGGTGCTAATATTTTCAATTCAATTAATTCAAGTTTTCTTGAAATATTGTTGATCTTAAGTAAGATTTCATTAATTTTAAAGAACTTATTCCAAGTTTCCAACTGAGGGAATTGCTTATTTTATAATCAATATCGGCATTTGAAAAACTAATGAAGTCTTTAAATACTCGCAATCTAAGTAAGTTGAAGCAGGTCTAATGAAGAAGAAGTATCGTCTTATTTAAATTGCATATTTTATATCTATGAACCGGGTCTACTGAGACCTTGAAGAAATTTTACAAAGCCAAAGAAAGCTATAAAGAAAAATTGATTCAATGTAGTGTTAGTGCATAATAATAACAATAACAAGAGAGAAGCAAGAAGGGACTTTATTGTAGTTTTAATTATCTATCATTTTTACTCACAATTTACCTCACCCATATTGTGGTTAAAAAGATTACAGAGTAATAATCATTTGGATTATTTATATCGAATAGGAATCATTTAAGAACCTTCAATCATTTTATATTGTCCTATGGATAGTGCCGCCCCTGAACAAATTCTCAAACTTAGTAATCCAAGACATGTAAAAGTAATAGAATGAGTTAATTAATTACCGTATTTTACGACTCTTTGTAGTTTTTTTGATAAAGAAATGGTTAGCTTTTCCAAGAAGCAACAGAGCCTAGTAATGCATTCTAACTATAGTTACACGAATAAATCACCAGAAAACATTTTCTGAGCAAAGATTATATATAGCTGTAACCAGCTTACGTTGTGGCTGAAGCACCAACTGATCTAACTGAAATGATGGAACTACTTGAGCAGTCACTTCTGTTTAAAGAAAGAAATTCTATAGTTGTATACTTGGCACTCAGTGGATGAAACAGGGATATTACTCAGATGAATACTTGCATAGTTCCTTTCTTTTATTTTTAATTCGTATTGTGGCTCCGTTAAATCGGAATTGACTCTGAAAAGTCCAATATTTGAAAAATAAAGTTAAAAAAATGTAATTCAAAACAACACTTGTTAGTAAGTAGTTCCATAGTTCCACAAACAGCCACAAGTGCAATTCCAGAATTTTTTTTCTAGATCTTCTTCCTTTTTTTTCAGAATTTTGGTTTAGATCACTTAACTAATTATTGATTTAATCTGACACAAAAGCTGATGATTGAAACTGCACATACTCTAGTGTCCCCTAAATTGACGCCAATGCATGTCTGTAACTGATTGGTTTAGGTTATTTTGTTTGTACGAACACTATTACTTACTACTACTATATTTTATTTTTATGAATATTAAAAAAAAAATTAAGTATGTATTATGACTTTAAAAAAACAAAGCAATCTATTGTTTGGCCATGCACACGTGTGATGTCGGCCGACCAACTTAGCTAGATCCAAATGTGTGGCAACACATTCTTCGCAATACATTAAAGGAAAACAAGAAAGGAAAAAGAAAATAAAGCAAAATATTATTAAATATGACTCACTTAAATATTGGTTATTTCTATGTCTAACGTCATAACTTAGTCTTAAACCCCACTACCCAAATTTTACACAAATATCAAATGTATCACTTGGAAATGTTAAGGGAAACTTTTATATGTTTTGGAATTTCAATGTAATTGAGTGATGGGATGTCTACCTTGCCCTGATTTTTCGATGCCAAGAGAAACAAAAGTTTTTGGACACATAATGAATGTTGAAGTACTATTTTTGCATTACAACGATTATAATATATTTCACATCAAAAGATATTATATTTCGGTTTTTATGGAAAGTATATACTCCATGCTAAATTAGAAATACCTGTAGTATGTAAGGAGGAGGGGGCATATATATATATA